GTCAGAGCAGGCCAGCAGAGGGGAGGCTGGGAGCCGGACTCCTGGGTTCTCTCCCCGGCTCTGGGAGGGGAGTGGGGGCTGGTGGTTAGAGCAGGACCCTGGGAGCCAGGACTCCTGGGTTCTCTCCCCAGCTCTGGGAGGGGAGTGGGGTCTAGTGGTTGGGGGTGAGGTGGCAGCCAGGACACCTGGATTCTCTCCCCGGCTCTGGGAGGGGAGTCGTGTCTAGTGGTTGGGGTGGGGGGGGGGAGCTGGGAGCCAGGACTCCTGGGTTCTCTCCCCGGCTCTGGGAGGAGCGTGGGGGCTGGTGGTTGAGTCGGGGCCCCAGGCGATGGTGCCTGTGAGCGGGGAGGGCCGGCTGACACATCAGCCGCAGAGGAGCCGGAAGCCAGGGGGCCCGGAGCGTGTCAAGCCCAGTTTGACGGCAGCTGCGGCTCCAGGGGTGACTCCGAACCGACCAGCGTGGCTTTGACTCAGCTCTCAGTCCGGCGGGGGGACACACCTGGGCTGGGGGGGGCTTGTGAAATCCACCCAGGGCCCCGGGCCGCACAGTCAGCGTCTCCCCAGCCAGCAGAAGGCCAAAGCTTTCATCTCCCGGCCACCAGACCACAATGCACTGGGGAGGGACCTGGGGGGTGCCCCCCCACTCAGGCTCTTACGTGGGGCTGAGTCTGAACCCAGATGTCCTGGCACCCAGCCTCCCCGCTGTAACCACTAGACCCCACTCCCCTCCAAGACCTGGGGAGAACCCAGGTGTCCTGGCTCCCCTTCCGAGGTGGCTTTGGGGCCAGACTGCCACATGTAATGAGGGAAACGAAGGAACCAAAAAATCCTTTTAACCCTGAAAAGCCCAACTTTCAGTTCAGCGCAGTGACCCCACCTGGGGCTCTAGGGGTGAGATTTCCCCCGATTGTCTAGACCCCCCATGAAAGCCCTGGGGTCTAGTGGTTAGAGTGGGCTGGGAGTCAGGTCTTGGGGTGCTTTTTCCAGTGTGGCTCTACAGGGGGGGTGCTGTGCTGGGGGGGGTCTCAGCAGGGAGGGGCTCTCCCCTAGCCGGCAGTGCTGGCCCCCATGCCACAGTGCATTGCTGCATCCTAAACAGCCCCCCCAGGGGGGCCGCAACTCAGCACCGAGCGAGGGGTCCCTATATGACCAGCCGCCGTGCCCCAACCCACAGGTGGCTGCATTGGTTGCTCCTAAGAGCCTTCGGAAGCGTTTTGGTGCCCCCAGGCCCGGGCTGCTGTCCTGCGTTCATCCCCTGAGCGGGGGGAGGGCGGGGGGAGATCGGCGGGAGGGGTGGGGGTGGGGGGGAGGGAAGCCGAACGTGTGGGAGGACCGATTGGGCCTGGCTCTTGCTTAAGAGGCAAACAAGGAAGGAGATTTCCCCAGAATTCCCCTGCTGGACCCAGGGGAGAAGTAACTCCGGTTCCTAGTGACACAGTGTGAGCCCCGGCACGGGGACCCTGCTGCACCCCAGTGATGCAGTGCGAGTCCCAGTATGAGGACCCTTCCACGCCCCAGTGATGCAGTGCGAGCCCCGGCACAGAGACCCCGCTGTGCCCTAGTGACATAGTGCGAGCCCCGGCACGGGGATCCCGCAGTGACGCAGTGCGAGCCCCGGGACGGGGATCCCGCTGTGACGCAGTGACGCAGTGCGAGCCCTGGCACTGGGATCCCGCTGTGCTCCAGTGATGCAGTGCGAGCCCCGGCATGGGGATCCCGCAGTGACGCAGTGTGAGCCCAGGCACGGGGATCCCGCTGTGCCCCAGTGACACAGTGCGAGCCCTGGCACTGGGATCCTGCTGTGCCACAGTGACGCAGTGCGAGCCCTGGCACTGGGATCCCGCTGTGCCGCAGTGATGCAGTGCGAGCCCCGGCACGGGGATCCCGCTGTGCCCCAGTGATGCAGTGTGAGCCCAGGCACAGGGATCCCGCTGTGCCCCAGTGACAAAGTGCGAGCCCTGGCACTGGGATCCCGCTGTGCCGCAGTGACGCAGTGTGAGCCCAGGCACGGGGATCCCGCTGTGCCCCAGTGATACAGTGCGAGCCCTGGCACTGGGATCCCGCTGTGCCCCAGTGACGCAGTGTGAGCCCAGGCACGGGGATCCTCCTTTGCCCCAGTGACGCAGTGCGAGCCCCGGCACAAGGACCCCACTGTGCCCCAGTGACAGGCCAGTCACTGCCAGTGGAGATGGGGTGATGGCTCCTGCTGCGGAACTGCCCCAAGGACACAGGTCATGGATCTCACTGCTGTCCCTCTGGGGCTATGGAGAAGGTTATCTCACCCCCCACCCTCACTGCATTCCAGTGACCGCAGCCAGCATGCCCGCAGGCAAGCCCAGCACATCGCACGTCTCCCAGCCAGCCAATAATGGGCGCCCAGCGGCACTGGGTCAGTCGGTTCCCCAGAGTGCCAGAGATACAGGGCCTGATCCCCACTGTGGACCCACTAGACCGGATTTAAAACAACGGGGAGCAGCCAGATCTCCGTTGTGTCAGTCACTATCTATCACGACAGCCATCTCTCTTGCGGGTCCTCTGCATCTTTCTTTCTTTCTTTCTTTCTTTCTTTCTTTCTTTCTTTCTTTCTTTCTTTCTTTCTCAATAACCTTTCCCCCCCACCTTCTTTTTTCATACCCCTTTACCCTTCCCAAAGTCTCCCCAGCAGCCAGCTCTCCTCTCAGGTGTGTGCGTGAAGGGGAAGAAAAGAAAGTCACTGGTGTGTGTGTGTGTGTGAGTGTGTGGCGGGGGGGTGAGGCCTCTCCCAGAGACACCAGCGGTAGTGGTGGTGGCAGCGGTGGGATTAGAGCATGACTTCATCACCCTTTCCCTCCCCCCAAGAAAATTTTAAAGGGAGAGCGCACCGACTGGCAATGCATTCTAGAGATGTGTGTCATCTCTTGCCCTATTGCACGCCACCCACTTCAAAACGTGCACGGCAAGTCAGAGGAAGAGATTTTCGAGTGGTGATCTCTCTCTCTCTCTTGCGCTGCCTTTTTTTTTTCTGAATGGAAAAGGAATGAGTCAAGATGTGTCATCCTTTGAAAAAACACTCACACACTTACAGAGAGGGCCCTGCGCCTGGTATATAAAGAGCAATTTGTAGTGGTGTGACATGCACGCACACACACACAAAGTACAGTGAAGAGGTTGTGTGGCACTTTTTTTTTTTTTCACCTGCGGGGGGGGTGGGCGGGGTGGGAAGTGTGCGTGTGTTGATTTTTGTGTGTGTGTGTGTGTGTGAGTGTGAGTGTGTCGGTAGAGAAAGCCTAGGGAAACGATCACTTCCCCCCCACCCCCATCTACCTCAAAAAAGTAATCCAAAAAAGCCCAGGGATTTTTGGAAAGCAGGTGGCCGCGAAGAAAATACGTTTGCCCCCCAAAACCCAACAAAAGTGGGCGAGCGAGAGAGAAAAAAAAGCCATCACCCGACTGTCCAAACAAACTCAAAAAGCAACTGACCAAAAAAAAAAGCCAAGCCAAGCAACCCACAAACTTTAAAATCCAAACCAGAAGAAAGGACAAAATATTGCAGGAGAAGAAAGAGTTAAAACTCAGGGACCCCACAAAATTACCTTGGCCTCAGAGCCACTCAGCCCCAGCCAACCCTAAAACCATGAAAAGTAAGTTCTGATTTTTTGCTCTTTTTTTTTTCCTTTTTGCCTAAATTTCCAAAAATGTTACTGCTCTTTTTTCCCCCTGCTTCGTGAAGTAATTTCTTCCTTTGCAATTCTCTTTCTTTCTAGCCCGCGCCGTGTGACTGGACCCTGTGTGTGCATGGAGAGTTACCTGCACACGTGGATTTAGAACTTGCACGCTGCATGTACTTTGTCTGTTTCACGTGTTGTGCGGATCGGTTACGGTTGCTTTCTGTCTTGCTGTACAGCTCGATGTCGTGGCTTATGCAGAAGTGTGTGTGTTGATGCCCCCAGGCTGTGTCTGGGGCAGGCGCTGTATTGATCATTTGCAATGTGTAGGTGGATATTTAATGCACAGATGGATGCTTCTGTCTCTCTAGATGCAGATTATCAGCATACGGTGTATGTTGAAGGCAGGACATGTGTGGACCTTGTGGTTTGTTGCTTTACATTTGCAGTCTGTCTCTGCCTAGACTTGGAAGGATGAGATTGTTATCAGTAAATGCCCCAGCCGTTGATTTCACCGCCCAGGCACAAACTAACAAACAACTGGTCCCATTCGCAGCCATTGAAATGGACAGCAAAGTCGGCAAACTGCGGCTGGGGAACGTATCAGAGTTGGATGTAAGGGTATTTTCTGGGGCTATTTTTCTGGACAATTTGCGTGATCACTTTTTAGATCCCACAGGCCTCTCTTTTCAAGTCTATAGTGTCTCCTTCCCCCTGGAGTTTCCTCCACCTGGGAATTGGGAGCATTGAAACGGATTTAAAAGATGCTTAGGCCCCATTGCTGTGCACAAGCGTGCAAATTTAAGGGGGGCGGGGAGCTTCAACATTGAATTATCTGTCGAAACGATGAAAATAGAAATTGCAAGCTGCCAAGCCTAGGAATATTTAATGCAGAGATAGATGCTGCTCACATAATTGTGTGTGTATATATATATATACTGCATGCACAGATAGCTTACTCTGCTCTGTGTGCGTGTATATTTACAGAGACACCTACATACTGTGTCTGTCTGATACTGATCATTTGCAATCCGTCTATTGCTTGCACTTAGGTGCATATCCAGTGCCCAGCGAGTTGCAGCTGTCCAGGGGTGGGCGAACTATGGCCCGGGGGCCGCATCCAGCCCTACAGACGTTTAAATCTGGCCCTCGAGCTCCTGCCGGGGAGCGGGGTCACGGGTGGCTCCGCACGGCTCCTGGAAGCAGCGGCACGTCCCCACTCCAGCACCTATGTGTAGGGACAGCCAGGGGGCTCCGCACGCTGCCCCCGGCCCAAGCACCGCCCCTGCAGCTCCCGTTAGCCAGAAAACAAGGCCAATGGGAGCTGCAGGGGTGGTGCCTGTGGATGGGGCAGGGCGTAGAGCCTCCTGGCTGCGCCTCTACATAGGACCCGGAGCGGGGATGTGCCGCTGCTTCCGGGAGCTGCATGAGGTAAGCGCCACCCAGAGCCGGCACCCCTGACCCGCTCCTGCACCCCAACACCCTGCCCCAGCCCTGATCCCCGTCCCGCCCTCCGAATCCCTCAGTCCCACCCTCCTGCACCCCCCAGCTGGAGCCCCCTCCCGCACCCTGAACTCCTCATTTCTGGCCCCACCTCAGAGCCCCTACTCCAAGCTGTAACCCTCACCCCCTTCCACACCCCAACCCCCAATTCTGTGAGCGTTCATGGCCCGCCATACAATTTCCATACCCAGATGTGGCCCTCGGGCCAAAAAGTTGGCCCACCCCGGTCTATAGCAATGCTACTGCCAGCATGTTGTGTGGGTCTGGTGGGTCTCTAGTTCCTCTGTACGGTTCAGGGTGTGTTTAATGCGTAGACAGATTCTTCTCCTTTATCGACGGCTGCGTATATGTATGTCTGCATGCCCATGCCCTACATATCTGACCTGATCTATGGGTCACGCGCAGTGGGTCAGTTTCTTGCCCCATAGATGCGGCTGGCTCACTGAGGGGCATGTCTGTGCCCTGGACGCCCCAGGTGGCGCGTTGATGGAGTAGCCTGCTGCGACCATATCTCGCGCTGTGGGGCAGGCTGGGGAAATGCTCGGGCCGTACCAAGGTGGGCAGATACGCGGCTCACAGCTGGATGGATAACGGACCAGCCCCTCGGCCGGAGAGAGCCAACGAAGCCACGGCGAGTGCCTCCGGCTGGGGACCTGGCCCGGTCTGTCTCTGGGGAGGGGTTTCTTGCTGACTAGGTGCTTGTGTTCGAGTGATACGTGCAGCCCTATTGATCGATCTGTCCCCTGACACCCCCCATCTAGCTAGCTATCCCCAGCCACCTCCTCCATCTATCCGTCCCCACATACGCCTGTCGGCATCTATCTATCTATCTATCTATCTATCTATCTATCTATCTATCTATCTATCTATCCCCAGCTACCCCCCCTCTCTCCCCAGCTGCCCCCTCTATCTATCTATCCCCAGCTACCCCCCCCCAGCTACCCCCTCTATCTATCTATCCCCAGCTACCCCCCCCTCCCCAGCTACCCCCTCTATCTATCTATCTATCTATCTATCTATCTATCCCCAGCCACCTCTCTCTCTCTCTCTCTCCCCAGCTGTCCCAGCTACTCTATCTATCTATCTATCCCAGCTACCCCTCTATCTATCTCTCTATCTATCCCCAGCCACCTCTCTCTCTCTATCCCCAGCTACCCCATCTATCTATCTATCTATCTATCTATCTATCTATCTATCTATCCCCAGCCACCCCCTCTATCTATCCCCAGCAACCCCCTATCTATCCCCATCCACCCCCTTTATCTATCTATCTATCCGCATCCACCCCCCTATCCGTACTCATCCACCCTCTCTATCTATCTACCCACCCCATCCACCCCTCTATCTATCCCCAGCCACCCTCTCTATCTATCTATCTATCTATCTATCTATCTATCCCCACACACCCCCTGCCCCTGTGTGGCTGGTACCACATACTGACCACATACAATCTTGTCTGTTTTGGATGTGGGGCAAACCTGCAGGGCAGGTGGCTTGATGCTGTGATGGAAGCCCTGCGGCTGGCCCAGATCAGGAATCAGGGCTCGCAGGCTCTGGATTGCAGTGGAGATGGGCAGGCTCAGGCCGGGGCCCCAGCTCCGACACCCCCAGCTCTCCGACTCGGAGCCGCAGGCTGTGTCTGGCAGTGTGGACGTGCCCAGAGTGACATGCTTGGCCAGGGGTAGGCAAACTTTTTGCCCGAGGGCCACACTGGGGAATAGAAATCATATGGCGGGCTATGAATGCTCACGAAATTGGGGTTGGGGTGTGGGAGGGGGTGAGGGCTCTGGTTGGGGGTGTGGGCTCTGGGGTGGGGCTTGGGATGAGGAGTTTAGGGTGTAGGAGGGTGCTCTGGGCTGGGACCGAGGAGCTCGGAGGGCAGGAGGGGGATCAGGGCTGGGGCAGGGGGTTGGGGTGCAGGAGAGGCTTAGGGGGTGCAGGCTCTGAGTGGCACTTACCTCAAGCGGCTCCCAGAAGCAGTGACGTGTCCCTTCTCCAGCTCTTACGCGGAGGCACGGCCAGGCGGTTCTGTGCGCTGCCCCGTCCGCAGGCACCACCCCTGCAGCTCCCGTTGGAGCGCGTAAGAGCCGGAGTGGGGCCAAGTCACGTGGTGCAGCTCGCGGGCTGGCTTAAAACGGCAGTACGGCCCACGGGCCATAATTTGCCCACCCCTGTGCTAGGTGTATCTGTAGCCCTCTGGCCGGGCCAGGCTCTGGGCCTGCGCTGGGGGAAGAGGGAGACTTGGGGTGTGGGGGGGAGTGGGGCTTCTGTCTCCTTATGTGCCTTAGGAGGGGCTAGTAAGGGCCTGCCTGGACTGGATTTCCTCCCCTGCCCAGGGCTGACCCAGGCCGGATTGCTCCCAGTGCCCCCTAGTGGCCACCCCACCAGATAGCTGTGACATGTGTAGGAAGTTTGGAGGGGTCTCAGCTGTGGGTGGAGGGGGTGTTACATGCGGGGGTGAGGGCCTGGGCTCCTCCAGGGGCAGGGTGCTCGGGGGGCTGCAGAAGAGAGAGGGGCGTAAAGGGGAAGGATGGAGGGGTGGGGGGGCAGCATGAGTTTGTGTAACCCCCACAGTGCTGGGAGAGCCTGGGGGCTGATGGGTACTTGGGACGTGTGTGTGAATGTGTGTGTGTGTGTGTGTTAGAGATGTGTGTAAAACGGTGTGTAGATCTGAGTATGTAGATCTGTGTTTGTGTGTGTAGATCTGTGTATAGATCTCTGCATGCTCTTGTTGAGATTGGGTGTGTGTAGATCTGTGATCTGTGAGTGTGTGTGTAGATCTGTGTGTGTTAGAGCTGTGTGCAAATGTGTGTGTGGATCTCTGTGTGTAGATCTGGGATCTGTGTGTGTGTGTGTAGAGCTTTGTGTGTGTGGTCTTGTGTACATCTGTGAGTGTGTGTGTGTAGACCTGTGGGGGGAGGGGACAGTTGCTATAAGTCAATGGAGCTGTGCTGATTTACACAAATGGGGTGGGTGTGTGCGTGGGTGTGTTTAACCCTTTCCTATCCCATGGCACTCCCCGAGCCAGTGGACCCTACAAATCCCTTTACAACCCAGACCCTGACCAAGCCCCTCTGCCGGGAGGATCCAGGCCCGGGGTCCCATGCGCTGCCGGCTCTGTGGGGTGGGGGGCCCCGAACAGCCCCCACATGCTGGGGAGGTGGCGGGGTCTGTGCAGGGTTCCCACAGCCAGCAGCATCCAAGCCGAGCAAAACGGAGGGCCTGGGGGCTGGTTACCCACCAGAGACAGCTGGAAAGTAAAGGAGGATGGTGGATAATAGGGGTGCAGGGAGATGGTGGGAGCACAGGGGGACTATGGGGGTGCAGGGGGATGGTGCAGGTGCAGGGGGACTGTGGGGGTGCAGAGGGACTGTGGGGTCGCAGGGGGATTGTGAAGGTGCAGGGGGACTGTGGGGACACAGGGGGATTATGGGGGTGCAGGGGAAATGTGGGGACACAGGGGGACCGTGGGGGTGCAGGGGGACTGGAGGAGTGCAGGGGGTCTGGGATGCAGGGTGGCTCCTGGGGGTAGGGGATGCAGGGTGGGATTTGGGGATACAGGGGGGTTGGGGCGGGGGTGTACAGGCAGGATTGGGGGAATTCAGGGTTGTTTGCGCAGGACGGGGGAGGGAGTATCTGGAAGTTGGGGGGCTGGAGCCCCTTGCCATTAACTCTTGCGTTGCTAGGTGGCAGGTGTCTTCGTCTGACGGGAGGGGTCCCCATCAGGCCCTAACAACCCCCCCCCCCACCTTTCCTTCCTTTCCTTTCCATTCCATTCCCTCCCCCCATTTCCTGGGTTTCTCTGAGGGCTCCCCCCCGCCCCAGTGCAATCTCTGGGGTGTGAGACCCAAGCTGGGAGCCCCCCATCTCACAATATCTCCCTCTCCCCTCTCCTCTCTGGCCAATGAAAAGCAGCGGGAGGGGGCAGCATTGGGGTTCAGTCCAGCACTCCCTGACTTGTCTCCTCTCAGACCCTGCACCCCATGAGCATTTCACCCCCAGGACCCAAACCTCCCCCCTTCTGCGCACTCTCCATCTCGCTCCATGGGGCACCCCACCCTTCCCCTACTGCCCCCACCCACACCCTCCCACCCCTACTCACCTACCCTGCCTGTCCCCGGCACCCCCCAGGCTCCCCCCAAACTATGCCCCTCCCCCACCCACCCCTGCATCCCACAGGCACCCCGTGCCCCAATCTACCCCCCTCCCCTCTCCTGCACCCCCTCCCCTTCTTCCCCCTACGCCCACCCCGCTCCTCTTTTGCCCCGGTTGATGTCCCATCTGCACCCCATGGGCAGCCACCTGCCCCACCCCCTCCACCCTGCAGCCCACGGGCAGGCCCTGCCCCACCCTGCCCCTCCCTCCCTCCGGGGCTGGGCCAGGTGTTCTGCAGTGACTCAGGGGGAGCAGGTCCCGGCAGGCGCTGGGGTGAGGCCCGGCATGGCCCTTGGGTCAGCTTCCCAGGGGTGGGGGCAGGTGGCTGGGCAGGTGGGGGGCAGGGGAGGGGGGATGGCTGGATGGATGGGGGTGGCTGGGCAGGTAGGGGGTGGGGAGCAGTGGAGGGGGGATGGATGGATGGATAGGGGTGGCTGGGCAGGCAGGGGGTGGGGCCAGGGGAGGGGGGATGCACGGGGGGGGCGGATGACGGATCACCCTCATTTATAGTACTGGTAAATCCTTCTAGCTATCCCCATCCCCCCTCCACATCCTCTCCCTGCCCCCATCCCTCCTCCTCCTGTCCCCATGCACTCTCCCTGTCCCCCCCCCGGCCTCTCCCCTTCCCCATTCCCCCCTGCCCCCATCTCCCACCACCTCCTCCTCCTCCCCCCTGCCTCCACCCCCCACCTCCTCCTCCTCCTCCCCCTGCCCCCATCCAGGCATAGCGGGGTTCGGACCCTGGAAGCTGCTTTCCGGAGGCCGTGGGGACAGAGGGTTGAAGTAGCTGGAGGAGCAAAGCAGGGACCTAAAGCAGCCCCCCAGGCTCCAGGCAGGACACTTGATCCCACCATAGCGGGGGAAGTGGGGGGGGGGAAGAGCTGGGGGCTCGGCTGCAGGGGACACTGATCGGACTTGCTCTGGCCCCAGCGCAGGGACTGGCTGGCTCAGGGGGGCAGGGAATGGGGCCCGGGGTGTCTCCCCTCTAGGGGGCACCGGCTCCCATCCGGCTCCATGGCAGGGACTGGCTGGAGGGGGAAGGGGGATCCCAGCATAGGGGGGTTTGAGGGGTGGAGGGAGGGGACTAGAATGGCCCAGCTGTGTGGTCTGCATGGAGGAGGGGCACACAAGGGGGTTACCGCCAATAACCCCAGCCTGGGGCAGTTATGGCTGGGGGGGACTTTAACCCCTTCGTGCCCCATTGGGAACCTGGGATTTGCCTCTTCCATGCAGCTGGGGGTTCGAGGAAGGGTGGTCCAGGGTTGTTCCTGGCCCTTCTGCCTCTCTACAGGTCAGGACTGCCCCTCCCCACCCCCCAGCGTCAGGGCCTCTGTGAAAACACACCCAGTTCTGGGCTGGTGGCCCCCCCAAGTGACTCTTGGTTACAACAAGCAGGATGTAGGGCGGGGAGGGGGCAGGGGGAGGCAGCCACATTGGGTTTGGAACTGGTGGAGGAGTCCCGAGTTAACTGGGCAAAAGACCCTATCATAACAGCCCCTTCCCAGAGAGACCCTACAATAACAAACTGGCATGGATGAGGCTGGGGGGACTCTGGTGAACTCCAGGGCTGTGCGTGCTGGTTTGTTATTGTAGGGTCTCTCATGAAGGTGCACCGGCTTGTTATCATGGGTCTCTCATAAGCGCACACCAGTTTGTTATTGTAGGGTCTCCCGTAAACACTGACTGGTTTGTTATTGTAGGGTCTCCTGTCCACATAGATTGGTTTGTTATTGTAGGGTCTCCCGTAAACACTGACTGGTTTGTTATTGTAGGGTCTCCCGTAAACACTGACTGGTTTGTTATTGTAGGGTCTCCTGTCCACACAGATTGGTTTGTTATTGCAGGGTCTGTCACAAGTGCCTGCTGGTTTCTTGTTGTGGGGTCTCCCGTAAACACTGACTGGTTTGTTATTGTAGGGTCTTTTGTAAGCGCAGGCCAATTGATTATTGTAGGGTCTCCTCTCCTCCGTGCCCAGCTTCATAGCGCAAGGGAAGGGCCCAGATTCCTTCTGGCTGAGGGAAGCAGCAGACAGGAAGCGGCCAGGGAAGGAGGCAGGAGATAGACGAGAGATAAAGGCAGCTCTCCGGCCACAGCTGAGCTGGCTTCTCCAGCAGCCCCTGCCAGCTGCGCGTCAGGGCTGGAGAATCCCGCCAGCCAGCCAGCCAGCGCGGGGCAGGGCGGGGCGCAGGGGTCCTGGGAAAACAGGGAGAGGACGAGCGAGCGAGAGCCGTGACCTTTATCCCTCTGACATCCCATAAAAGACGATGCCCGACGGGGACAAAACGACCCCGTCCGCACAGAAAGCGAGGACAAAAATCCAGCCAAGCCCACCACCCCGTTCCCGCGGAAGGGGCCGGGGCCGGGGCCGGGGCCGCGGGGCCGGGCTCAGTCGAGACAGAGGGTGAGCGCGAGGAAGCGAGAGGGGCGACGGCGAAACAGCGACAGAGAGAGATCCCGGCGAAAGGGGCAGAGCGAGGAGGCCGGAGGCGGAGGGAGCGGGCCCGGCTGGGAGGCGAGGGCCGGAAGCCGTGGGCGATGGGCTGGTCCCGGCCGGCGGGAATGCGCGGAATCCGGCCGGCCCGTCTGGTCCCAGGAATGCGGCCGGCCCCCGCCGGAGGAGAACCAGCGGCCCCCGGGAAGGGGGGGGGGCGCACTGTGTGGGGTCCGGCGGAGCACCCCACCCCAGAGCCAGTGTGCAGGGCCAGCAGGGGGCAGCGCAACCTGTTGGACATGCACACCCAGCATGTCTGGGGTGGTGGAGGGGGGCAGGGGTTTAGCCACCATAAATGTATTATCTGTGCTAATAGCTGGCCAGGGAGAGAACCCAGGAGTCCTGGCTCCCAGCCCCCCACTTCTCTAACCACTAGACCCCATTCCTTCCTACAGCTGGGGAGAGAACCCAGGAGTCCTGGCTCCCAGCCCCCCACTTCTCTAACCACTAGACCCCACTCCCTTCCTACAGCTGGGGAGAGAACCCAGGAGTCCTGGCTCCCAGACCCCCCCTTAACCCCTCTCTCTCTCCCCCCACAGGCATTGTGTGCCGGCTGCTGGTGGCGCTGCTGAGTCTGTGTGAAGGGCTGCGGGGGCTCCCTGCCCCGCGCCTGAAGCCCTCAGACCCCCGGGCCGACTTCGACTCCATCATCAGCCTGGCCAAGAACCTGCTGAGTGACACCAAACACCTGTTCCATCACTTTGTACGTCCGGGTCTCCCCCAGCCACCCTGGGACCTGCCCCCACGCCCGGATCAGACCCTGGGCACAGCTACCCTGGCCTCCCTCCTCCACCCCAGGCCACAGGTCCATCTACCCTGGTATTGCCCCCGCCATCTCCTTTCAGTCTATGGGACTGGTGTTGGGAGGGACTGGTGAGAATACACAGGGCTCTCCCAGCCCCACAGCCGTTCCCAGGGGAGGGGGCTGGGTGGAACGGCCTGGACCAGATCCGATCCCCTCCTTTCTCTCCAGAAATCCCGGTACCCAGCCGAGGGGGAGCACAAGATGGACACGTTGCCCGTGCTGTCCATGAGCGCTGTGGAACTGGCCAACATCCAGGTGAGCGGGTACACCCTGTGGGGGGCGGTTGGCAGCCTGGACCCCCGCGTTCTATCCCAGATCTAGGTGGGGAGGGGGGTCGAGGGGAGGGGGGGCTGGGAGCCTGGACTCCTGGGTTCTACCCCAGATCTGGGAGGTGAGTCGGGTCTAGTGGTTGGGGGGCTGGGACCCAGGACGCCTGGGTTCTATCCTCAGCTTATGTCCCTTTACATCTATATATAGAGGGGCTGAGGCCCCCCCACCTCTCCGGCCCCACTCCCACCAGGGCTGGGGGGGGGGGGAAGATGCTTGGCCACGTAGTGGGGCTGCAGTGCCCCCAGTGGCCATGCGCATTTCACCCCCCTCTCCCCCACTGGGGCCTCAGCCACTGATCGTAGGAGATCCTGGTGGGTGTAATGGGGCGGTGTGGGGGTCTGGGGGGAGGCTCAGGTCTAGGGGGATCCCAGCAGGTGCTGGGCAGGGATCCTGGCAGATCTTCGGGGCAGGCCCCGGGGGCTCGCCAGTGTGGGGGCTCCGTGGTCGTGGCTCATCCCCTCGTTGCCCCAGGTGCCCGGGGGCCTGGCGCGGCTCAGCGCGGACCTGCTGAACTACCAGAAGCACCTGGAGTGGCTGCGCCGGGCGGGGCCGGTGCTGCGGCCCCTGGAGCAGGATTTGGGAGCCCTGCACGCCCGGCTGGAGCGCCTGGTCAAGCGCCTGGAGCACCTGGTACGGGGCGGGGGGGACACACACCTGTCCTGGGGGATGGGGCCTGTGGTACCTGGGGCAGGGCGGGGCCTGGGGGAAGGGGCGGGGCCTGGGGAGACAAACCTAGCATGGGGGGCGGGGCCTGGGGCAGCGGGTACAGGGTGGGGCAGCACCTGAATACACCCAGCATGAGTGGTGGGGGCAGGGCTGGGAGCAAGGGGCGGGGCCTGGGGGGCTCTAGGGCTGGAGCCAGTGCTGGACAGATGGACACACACACACCAGCAGGGGGCAGGGCAGGGCTGCACACACAACACACCAGCAGGGGGCAGCACTGCACACGCATGTGCACACACACACACACACCCCCAGCAGGGGGCAGGGCTGGACACCCCCCCCACACACACACACACCCAGCAGGGGGCAGGGCTGGACCCCCCCACACACACACACCCAGCAGGGGACAGGGCATGACACACACACACCTCAGCAGGGGGCAGGGCTGGACACCCCCCCCACCTCAGCAGGGGGCAGGGCTGGACACCCCCCCCCACACACACACACCCCAGCAGGGGGCAGGGCTGGACACCCCCCCCCCACCTCAGCAGGGGGCAGGGCTGGACACCCCCCCCCACACACACACCTCAGCAGGGGGCAGGGCTGGACACCCCCCCCCCCCACACACACCCCAGCAGGGGGCAGGGCTGGACACCCCCCACACACACACCAGCAGGGGGCAGGGCAGGGCTGGGTGCACACACACACACCCCCCAGCAGGGGGCAGGGCTGGACACACACCCACTCTCTCTCTCTCTCCCTCCCCCCCACAGATGTCCAGGCTGAACTTGCCCCGGCCCAGCGACCCGCTGCCCGTGCTGCCCTCGCACGGCACCCACTGGGCGGTGGTGCAGGCCGGCCACGCCCTCTTCCACAGCCTGCACCTCTACCTGGACTGGGCCGCCCGCGCCCTGGTTCTGATCCGCAACAAGCTGTGACGACCGGCGCGGTGGGGGGCCCTGCCCCGGGGACACCTGGGGTCCCCCATCCAGCATTCCAGGGCACAGGGGTCCTGCCCCCCAGCTGTGGCACCCACTGGGCCCCCCCACACCAATAGAGGGTGCAGGGACCCTGCCCCCAGCCATGGCACCCATAGGGCCCCCCCACACCAATAGGGGGTGCTTGTTGGCTAGCCCCCCCGATGTAGCAAACTCTTATTTATGCAACCCACTATTTATTTATTTATTTACAGTAGGAGATGGGGGGGAAGGGGGCTCGTTAGCCTTTTCCTTTTTTTGTATTCATTTCTTGTTACAATTCTCCTCCCCCCTCAATCTGAGGGGGGGTTATCAAGGCCCTTCAAGCCAAGGAATGGAGAAGTGGGGCTAGAGGAGGAGAGTCTCATCCCCCCTCCCCCTGCATTTCACTCCTATCCCTACCGCACTGGGGCTGTCCCAGCCCCTCCTTCTGTGGGACCCTGCTCTGTTTGCTTCTCCCCCTTTCCATCTTCCCCCTCTCCTGTCTTTCCTTCTTTCTCATTCTCTTTCACTTGTTCTTTCTCTCCTTCTTTCTTTCGCTCCTTCTGTCTTTCATTCTCTCTTTTGTTCTCTCTCCTCTCTTTCATTTGCTTGTTCTTTCTTTCGTTCCTTTTGTTTTTTGCTCCTTCTTTCGTTTGCTCTTTTGCGCCTTCCTTCTTTTGTTCCTTTGTTCACTCGTTCCTTCTTTCTTCTCTCTCTCTATTCTCTGATTTTCCCATCCTTTCCCTCTTTCTTTCTATATTCTCTTCTTTCATCATCCTTTCTTTCTCTCCTCCTAGGGCAGCAGTGACTCCTAATGGCCGTGCTGCTGAACTGCAACCCCTGGGCTATGTAATTACAGACGGTCCATCCTTCATTTCCTGATGGGGGGCGGGTGGGGGGGGGAATTTATTGCTGTCCGGGGTGAGGACAGCGCAAGAGCCGCTCTCATGCCTGAGCCGGCCCTGGAAAGCCTGCGGCACTGTGCTCCGGAAGTTCACCACAGTCACAGATACTGCTGGCCCTGCAGAGTTAATGGCGAAAAAGCAGAAGAGAGCAGGACTCCTGGGTTCTCTCCCCAGCTGTGGGAGGGAAGTGGGGTCCAGTGGTTAGAGCAGGGGGCTGGGAGCCAGGACTCCTGGGTTCTCTCCCTGGCTCTGGGAGGGGAGATCCCAGACACAAAGTCACTGAGATCAGGGTCCCATCAGGCCAGGGCGCTGCCCAGACACAAAGTTCCCCTACAGATGTTTACCCCCTACCATCCCGGATCCCGTAGCTGGGCCGTATTTCCATATAACCGCCCCCCCATCTCTGTATTTATGCCCTTGCTTTGGGTCACTCCACCCTCACGCTATTTATAAATCCATTGGACGTTGCTGTTTTAAATTATTTAATTTATTATCTATGCCAAGATTGGGTTGTTTGGCTAATTATTAATTATTGTTATTATTTGGGTCACGTTCACCTTATTTATTGAGCCAGCGATTTACTCCTTTTTTAAAAAAGCTTTAAAAAGAAAAAGAACGTGGAAAAGAAATACCGTTTTGAAATAAAATCCTAAGTGGATGGACAAGGAATGCCGGTGTCTTGATTGGGCGGGAAGGGGGGCTCTTGCATCTTCATGGGTGAGGGTTGGGGGGGCAACCGCTGGCACAGACTCCTGCTCCGTAGCCCTAGGGACACCCCTCCCCCCCGGTCTAGAGCCGGGCTAATGAGTTTTTGGACCTGGGGATCTGGTTCCAGCCTGGTACATAGGGAGGGATCAGGTGTTGCCGGAGCATCAGGGGCTTCAGCCAGGGAAGTTTTGGGTCTGGCCCGGAATACAGACAGGGATCCGGGTGGGGCAGGGCGGAGCTGGGGCGGGCCTGGTTCTGACCCACTGCAGAGCCAGGGAACAGCTGGGAAATCCAGAGCTGGGCTGGAAAGTCTGCAGACCTGCAGGGGGGAGGATCGGATCCGGTACTGAGCTGGGAGGGGTCCGCTAGGAGCCAGGGAGAAAAACCACAACCCCACCCCACCCATCCTCCCAGAACCTCCCCCCACCTACCCAACCCCCCAGAACCTCCCCCAACCTGCCCATCCCCCCAGAGCCTCCCTCACCTGCCCCCTACTCATCCCCCCCAGAGCCTCCCACCACCTGCTCATCCCCCCAGAGCCTCCCCCCACCTGCACCCTGCCCATCCCCCCAGAGGCTCCCCCCACCTGCCCCCTGCCCATCCCCCCAGAGCCTCCCCCCACCTGCCCCCTGCCCATCCCCCCAGAGGCTCCCACCACCTGCCCCCTGCCCATCTCCCCAGAGCCTCCCTCCACCTGCCCCCTGCTCATCTTTCCTAGAACCTCCCCCCATCTGTCCATCCCCCCAGAGCCTCCCTCACCTGCCCCCTGCCCATCCCCCCGAGCCTCCCCCCACCTGCCCCCTGCCCATCCCCCCATTCGACCTTCCAGCAACCCAGCCCCACTTCTCCCCGCAGCTCCAGTTGTCCCAGCCGCAGGCTCATGTGATCCCCACATCATATGATCCAAGGTTAATCCCCCCCCCCTCCGAGCTGGTCCCTCCTCATTGGCCTTCCGGGGCGCTTCCTCCAATCCCCATTGGCCACTCCGAACGCCCGTTGCCCTCTGGGCCCCGCCCTCTCACCCCCCAAGGGTCCGCGGGGCGGGTCTAGAACCCTGAGACCAGCTGGAGCCGGGTAGTTGGCAGCTCCCCCACGTGGGTCGGGGGCGCCTGGACAGAGCGACGGACAGAGCCCGGTGCCGGGGGGGGCGGGGCGCCGGGGAGGGGGTTGGGTTGGGGGGCGGGAATCCTTGACCCTAAACCTCTTCCTGTGTTGGGGAGCGGCCCCCATCTGCTTTAGCTCCCCGGCGTTTGGGGGGCTGGGTGTGGGGGGCAGAGGAGGGTGTGGGGGGATCCACTGTCTCCCAGATCTGCCCCCCCGGCTGGGATCTACCCCCCACACCTCAGATTCACCCCCCATTTCCCAGGGGGCGGGGAGAGAAAACTTTTCTCCCCTTCTGATCTCCGAGGTGGAAACTTCCGTGTTTCGGGGGCGGGGTTGCCACGTGGAGGGGTTCCCGAATTTATAAAGTCGGGGTGTCCCGTCCCCCCTTGTCCAGTCCGGCGGCGGGGAGTTCAACTGTAACCCTTCCCCCGCATTGGGAATCAAAAGGGGAAGTGTGGGAGGGCAGGGAGCAGGAGGGAGCGGCTAGGCCCCCCGTTACGTTCCCACTCAGAAATCCAGTTGGGACCCCCCCACACACACACCCTGAACCCCCCAACCCCAGACCTCTGGAAATCAGGAATTCTGCCCCCTATTGAGCTCCCTCAAAGAGGTCTGGTGAGTGACTTTGATTCTCACGAACCCCCCCATCCAGTTAACTGAACCTGACCCCCCCCACCTCGCTGCCCCCCATTTTTTAAAATCGCTGATTTTTTTTTAAACTTTGGCCCCCCCCAAAATAACCCAATTTGGGTGTGTGTGAAAACTTTTAAAAAACGTTTTCCCCTAGATACCCTGCATTCCCCAGGATCCCCCCGTCACACTTCCACACACCCCCCGCCCAGGACTCCCCTCACGCCCCCGGGTGCCCCACCTCTGGCTTTGGCCCCTTCTGGGGGCAGTGGGGGGGTGTTTAAGAGCCTGGGAAACAGAGGGGTCCCCCGTTGGTCAGAGCTAGAGGGGAGGTGCCTGGATCCCCTGATTGGGGTGCAAGAGGGCAGGCTGCCTTTGGAAGACGGGGGAAGGGGGCTCCAGGGGAGGGGAGCAGGGCATGGAGGAGATTTTCGGGGAGGAAGGGGAGTCGGCCTCCCCTGCGCTCTGCGAAGAGCTGGTTTCGGGGCTGGCCGCGGGGCTGTATGGAGAGCTGGAGCGGCTAGTGGGGGCCTACGGGCGGGGGGCAGTGGCCGGGCTGCTGCCCCAGCTGGTCTCAGTGCTGGAGGCTCTGGAGCGAGCCGGTGGGCAGATCCGGGAGCGGGATGAGGCGCTGGAGCTGCTGCGGGACGACCAGCTCGGGCTCCTGGGCCAGTACGAGCGGGAGCGGGCCGGGCGCAAGAGAGCCGAGGAGGTGAGGTGCCCCCTGAGCCGGACCCGCAGCCCCCCACCCCATCCCCTGCCCAGCGTCCCCCAATCCCGACCCGCAGCCCCCCACCCCATCCACCACATGGCGCCCCTCAATCTTGATCCACAGCATGGTGCCCCCTGATCTGGACCCACAGCCCCCCACCCCGTCTCCTGACCAGCACCCCTAAATCCTGACCTGCAGCCCCCCTGTGTGGTGCTCCCCAGTCCCAACCCACAACCCCCCACCCCATCCCCCGCATGGTGCCCCTCGATACAGACCTGCAGCCCCTCCACCCCATCCCCCACATAGCTCCTCAATCCTGGCCCGCAGCCCCCCCCCGCACGGCGCCCCTGGATCCCGGCCCGCAGCCCCCCCCGCACGGCGCCCCTGGATCCCGGCCCGCAGCCCCCCCCCGCACGGCGCCCCTGGATCCCGGCCCGCAGCCCCCCCCCGCACGGCGCCCCTGGATCCCGGCCCGCAGCCCCCCCCCGCACGGCGCCCCTGGATCCCGAGCCGCAGCCCCCTCCTGTACGGTGCCCCTGGATCCTGACCCGCAGCCCGCCCCTGCACGGCGCCCCTGGTTCCGATGCAGTCTGGCGCCCGGACTCTTGGGTTCGCTGCCAGTGGCCTGTTCTCTGCAGCGCTACATGGAGCTGGAGGACGCGGTGGAGCAGGAGCGCAAGGGTCACAGGGCGGCGCTGAGCCGGCTGGACGGGCAGAGCCGGCGGCTGGAGGACAAGGCCCGAAGCTACGCGGACCAGTGTGAGGGCCGGAGAGCGGGCCGGAGGCGCTGGGGGGTCGCAGGGCTGGGGCGGGGGTCAGGGAAGAAACAGAGGGTGGTCAGGGAGCCCGGGGGGGACAGTGCCAGGGCTGGGGGGCATCCAAGGGGCTGTGGGGTCAACAGGAGGGGGACTCTGCGGGGAGGCTCCCCCCACTGGTGTCTCAGCATAGTTAGGGCCCTATCAAATTCAGGGTCCATTTTGGTCAATTTCACGGTCATAGGATTTTTAAAATCATAAATTTTGTGGGTGAAAGCAGACAAAAGACCAGATTTCACGCAGGGGGACCAGATTTCACAGTCTGTGATGCGTGGTGTGAACTTGGGAGGGCTCTAAGCATCAACCTAGAAACCCTACAGTAACAAAGCGGGGATCCCCGGAGACCCTACAATAACAAAGCAGCCTCGGTAACTGAGACCAGATGAGATCAAACAGCAGCAGCTTGGGCCCTGGCGTCTCCCCGACGGGTTTTTCCGGCTCCCCAAGACCGGGGTGGTGGGTGGGTGTGGGCTGTGTCAGAAAAGGGGGGGTTCCAGTGCCAAGAGGCACAGGGTGAGGCCCTGCCCCCTCACTGGCCCCGCCCCCTTACTCTGAGAGGGTTGGTGGCAGCATGGGGACTGGCTGGGGGCAGGGGACAGC